CCTAGCGTTTGTACCTGTGCGGACGTGAAGAGCGAATGAAGTAGGTGCTGCGCGAGTCGCCGCGTTTGCCTTCAGCTTGCTGAAGCGCCCAGCGGACATTATCGAAAACGACGGTCGAACTGTCGCTTGTGTCCGCCGTTGACTCTTGCTCCAGGGCATGGGTCCTCAGTCGCCTGTAGCCAATAAATGAGCAGCTGTGGTTTGATTGGAACGTTTCGCAAAACGAGAGTCTCTCATGACGAGCTCGGTACTGCAATGGATTAAACTCCTTAGTGGAGGTTTAACTGTACTCAAGCTGGTTTGTAAAATTTCGTTCTGGTAGTATTGGCCTTACGAAAGAGCCGCGCGGTCGACCAGAATCAAAGATGCATAATGACGAACTGGAAGTCACCATCGAGTCAAATCCACCCCAAAGTGCAAATAAATTATCGTTGACATTTGTTGTAAGCAAGCCAAATGTATTAAGTCACCTAGTTAAAGTTAATAAAGTGAAAAATTCGCTGGTATGGGTACCGGATGAACTGAATGAAAAGCAGGCACAAGAAGGTTTTGAAGCTTGCATGTTGTTGCTTTCTCCTCAAAAATAGTCATTTTTGAGACGAATTGTGAAGTGTGATTACAAGAGGATCCAGTACGATAACTGTTAAAAGTTCAGCACAGTGGTTGGATAAGGATAAGCCACCAAAACACAGCCCAAAGCGTAATATTCACCAAGAGAGGGTGCTGGTGAGCGTTTCGTGGTCTGGCATAGGTATGATCCACTGTGATTTCATGAAGCTTTATTCATCCATCAGGACATAAGTATACTGCAACTAGATAGACCAAATGATCCAAAACCTTGGAGGAAAGTTGCCTAGTTTGGTCAACTGCCCGATTCTTATTCTATCCCATGACAACGCCAGACCAAATACTGCAACATTAACAATGGGGGAACTACAGGAGTTGCAGTTAGTTCTCTATCAACAGATATGCTCACCAGTCCTTGTCCGCACTGCCTACAGCTCCTTCAGTCATCCGGGTAGCTTTTCAGATGCTGCAAGAAAGGCCTCCCAAGATTTAATCGACTTCATTACCATACTTTTACACCACCGGATTGAATAAACTACGGCTGAAATAGCAAAAGTGTATTGACAGTACAAATTTCATGCTTAACGACCCAATAATAGGAAATATTTTCTTAACTGATGCTTGAAGCAATCAAAAACGAAGATCTCCAAACGAAGTTTTGTTTACCGTGTATATTCTTAGAAATTCCGCCTCCTGGGAAGCTCAAGGGTTCGGTTAGTTTGCAGTTAAACTTACCAGTTTTTTCCGTTGCTTAAGTAAAGAAGTAGATGGCGAATATGGCTTCGGATTGCCTCATGACAAATACGTCCTTTCAGTGTCGTTTTTAGCATGGTAAAAAGTGGTCTACCTTATATTACTTCCTAGAATTGGCACTCTCGGTTAAGATAAGTATCCTGCTCCCACAGGAGTTTGTCTAAGTTTCACTTATCTCCTATTTTATCCTCTGAAGGCCGCCCGAAACATCATTATCCCCCAGCCTGACCAGATCTCTGGAGCACCTGGAGAGCCTTTCTGTCAGCCTCCTTCAGCAGCGAAAGTCCCTCCTGCAACGCAAGAAAAGCAAAGAATCAGACCTGATACCGCCCAGGTCCCCGGACCAGGACGCTGAGGACTACGCCAGAGCTTTGGCCGCGTTGCGACGTCAACACGAGGAGGAAATTAAGGCAATATGGGACAACGTCCAGGCTAACTGGGTGCCCAAGGAAGAGTTTGAAACATTTGCTGCCGAGACCGAGTAAGTACTGTGGTCTGACCCTTCTAACTTTTGATTCCCCTGACGAATTTTAATTTCTACTTCTTTCCAACACGCTCACCGGAATAACTAACACACATTTTACTTGAGAACGTACTGTTGCGCACCGCAATTATTTTTGTTTCGTGTTGACGTTTTGGAGAGCTTGGCCGGCTCTCCATTGTCAGAGCGTCGACTATCACCATCGATCAGCGATTTGAATAACTTACTAGACCCGTCGGCCCTGGACTCTCTCTCTCTTGTTCACTGCCTCGGCCCTCGTGTGGATGTTTGCGTAGCTGGACGGCCGCTAGTGTTGCGCTTCGTCACCGCGGTAGACGGTGCTGGTAATCTTACTTCCTCTTCCGGTAAGTTCGTTGCGGGGCCGTCTTCGCTCGCATTTCTTAATTTCCTGGTGTCCTTCTCCTGGTCCCTTCTTGAACATATCAGTTGTTCAGTTAACAAAGGCATCAGAAGAAACAAACGAGTTAATCCCCAACAAAACATCCTCGCTGTTCATGCGGCGCAAGGGGTGTGAAACTCTTGGGCGACAAGAACAGAGAGCGTTAAAAAGCGTAAAAGCGGATGAAAACATAACCATTTTGTCGGCTGACAGAGGTAGTTCTCGAGCAGTGCTTAACAAATATGATTACCAAACGAAAGTCCAGAGCCTCCTCGATAACTATGGATCTTATAAATTATGTCCAGCCCGTGAAATGAAATATCTGCTCACCCAAATAAACAAATAGAACATACAGCTTACGCTCATTATCGCCCTTCACGGCACTCTTACATACAGTGAGATTAAGTGGATGTTTGGTCACCTTCCGTTCCTGGCAGCATGCTCAAAAACAACCGTGGCTTCAGCCAAACAGTTCCTTGAACGGATAGAACAGCTGAAGTTAAAGCCGGTTGAATTCATGTTATTATTTGACGTTGTTTCACTCTTCATCTCCAGCCAATAACAACTAGCGATTGATGTTTTGAGACAACTTCTAACCGAACCCTACGACGAGAGGGGCAAACCCCCGAAGTACGAAAATTTTCTCAAACTTCAACGTGAAACTTCAACCTTGAAACCTTCTCAACATTTGGTGGACAAATGTGTGAACAAATTGAAGATACTCCAATAGGCTCCCTTGTCAGGTTTGATTACTGAAGTGATCCTTTAACGGATAGAACACTTAGTCTGCACAAAGTATCAATCAAAGTTTCTGACTCATTATGTTTATGACACTTTCGTCTTTAGTTCTGCGAAAATTCCCATGTTAGGATTGAAAAGTACTTTTTGGCAAACAGCTGTTATCGATTATTCAGCATCGGCCCTTTACAGTGCCATGGAAAATAAATGTGTCAATTACGTACAGGGTTTATATGGTTCTTGAGGTTGCGGGGGTGTGAAGATTAGTCATCTCTTCGTTCCTTCGTCCCTTGCATGACAGAATCGGCTTCTTGAGGACCTTGGGAGTCGGAGTGCGGAGGAGTGAGGTAACGTGCTCACTGTAGGCTGTACTTGAGGTCTTTACGTCAAAAATGCCGAATGCGTGTGATTGTTCTCGAGGGCTTGGGACGGCGTGCGATTCCCACCTGCAATCGGCCAAAAGGGACAAAGCGCATATATCAATGTCTTTTGACGGCAGAGAACTGGTTTTGATAAACGAATCGCCACTGCCTCGGCCGTGGCTAGCACGCGTTTGCGCAGGTGCTGAGAGTAGTGTGCTGGTGCCCGATACATTTTCCATTTCAATGTAAAGGTCTGATGATGAGTGATCGAAAACAGCTGTTTGACAAAGTATCCGACATTGAGCACCTCAAAGAATGACAGCACTCGGTTGACCCGAAAAACCAAGTTACGATGGAAGCTGGAAGAAATAGCCACCCCTCCATCCTCGATGTCCTTGTGCGCCGATGTTCGTCTGGACAACTGCAAGCTACAGGATTTAGAAAAGCCACCAGTGTCAAAATAAATAATACACTTCGACATAAATCCGCCCCTGTCTCATAAACGTAGCAGCGTCCACACTCGTGTCCAAAGGGTTTAAATACATTGTAGAACACTAATTGAAAAAAGAGCTAAACAACAAGACATCCCTAACCTCTTCCGAACTAATGCATACGCAAGCTCTCTTATCAAAAACAAAGCAATCACCGAGTGAACATCAGAAAGCCAAAAGAAGAACAACCCGAAGTCTCGAGGGCCATTCCCTGCATAAAAAGTGGTCTCCAAAGCATTCTCTCCACTGTTACAACCCGCTGGAGTAGACCTAGCTCACTGACTCCAAGCCACAATACGCCGCCCTGTGATGTAATCTATGGATAAACTGCCCCCGCTTAAACCTCAGTAGGTGTCCACCAGATACGTTACAACGATGGGAGCCTGCAAATACGTTGGAGAAACAGAGCGAAAATTGGAGAACCATCTACCTGAGCACAAGCTGGCGGCTCGGCGATAAGACCCAAGCTCGTAGCTTGCAAAGCCTATTGGAGAGACCAGCCATATTTTCGATATTCACGGCGTGAAAATAGTAGACCGAGACATAGTACATGAGATTCGAGGTAGCGAAAGAACGAGAGAATCCAAAGCCGACAAGTTTAGCCAGACATTCAAATCGTTTATCGATAATGACATTTGAAGTTTTGACAGTGAAAAGCAGGCCAAACTTTCTGAAATTTTAGCACGAAACAAAACTTTTCTGGAGAGCAAATTAAGTTCTCAGCTTTCCAGCCCGGAACTCTCACCTTTGCGACCTTGACACCTTTTCTCCTTGTTAACACACTGCCTGTAGCAGAACTTTCGAATAATCATAGATCAAGTGTCCGTGTAAAGCAGTTGAAAAGCTAAAAATGCGCAAATGAAGTACCTTCTTTGATGAGACCTTATCGTTAAGGGAATAAAGTTCTCCACATGATCACCAGCAAAGAGTACATCGATTGCTGTGCTGGAGCAACATCTCCTTTGCGTTGGATGTAGCCGCTCTGAAAAAGCTGTGGTCAGGGCGGCGGACTATTGTTATTCGGTTTACGCTTCCCTTGCCAAGGCGAATAAAGGGGTGTAGTATTTAATCCAACTTTCAGCAAAAAATCCTGTCCCCCTGCAACTTTCCGTTTTTGGCTTCTCTTCAGGCGCACTTCCACCAATGCCTATTTACTATGCACAATTTTAAACATTAGTATTTCTTTCGTATAACTTGAAAGGCAGGCACCCCAAGAAATGCAATTTTAAGGAAAGACATTCCTTGGGAAATAAGCTAACTTTATTCAGTAAATTTTTGGACATTGGATCCCCAGGTCGTAGTCAGACTCGAGAAAATGTGCAACAAACAATTAAAATTTCGAAATTGCTGCTACGATTATATAGTCATCTGATGAGGGCGCTAATTGGCAGTTGCAGTTTGTGCCAGTTCATGAAGGGCAAAATTAGTAATCGTGATAGAATAATTGCTAATTGGCCACTGTCGGACGCAAATGGCTGACGCAACTGACAGTTGCCAATTAGCAATTATTCTATCACGACTACTAATTTTGCCCACCAGGGATTGACACAAATTGCAGCTGCTAACTAGCGCCCACACCAGATGACTATAATCGTAGCAACAATTTTAAAATTTTTAATTGTTTGTTGCACATTTTCTCGAGTCTGACTACGACCTGGGGATCCATTGTCGAAAATTTACTGAATAGAGTTGTCTTATTTCCCAAAGAATGTATTTTCTGAAAATTAAATATCTGGGATGCCTGCCATCACATGTGGTACATGCGCAAACGAGATGAGCAACAAAATCGCACCGACCTCACATCTTGGCGAGCGGTTCCGTACGTCAAAAACGCCTCGGAGGCCGTCGGTCGCCTTCTCATCTCACTTGGAGTTGGAGCCGCGCAAAAGCCGGAGGAAGCTATAAGGCGTCAGATAATGAAACCTAGAGACCCACAGCCACTACAAGAAACAGCTGGAGTCGTCTGTAGGATCTGTTGCAATGGCGGACAAAACAACTTCGTCGGAGAAACTGGCAGACTTCAAAGAGACGCGAGTTGTCGAACACGCAGCAGCAGTGCGAAGAAATGATGCCAGTCCTCTAGTCATGGCTCATTCGGTGAGACCCGGCCACACACTCAAATTTGATGAGGTCGAGATTCGCGCAAGGGGTGACAATTCTGTTTGTCGCGAGTGGCTTGAATCATGATTCACGGGCCCCCAGTCTATCAACGAGTGCAAAGACCTGCTTAACCCATTTTCGGTGCTGAGGCTCAAGTTGGTCAAGGCAATCCGCCAGTTGGGGAACGCACAGGCCAACACGTCGTCTAACACCAGCGCCAGGGAACAAGATGGCTGAGCAATCATCCCGCCCAAT